TCTGTTCAATCTAATGGAAGGGCCACTGAACTAAAAGAGAGGGGGGCCAGACTCATATGCCCCCAAAGAGCCCATGGTCCAGACGACAGCCCTGTAACCCCCATGGAAAAAAACAGAACCAATTTTGTTTTTTTTTTTCTTTTTAAAGACAGGGTTTCACCATGTTGGTCAGGCTGGTCTTGAACTCCCAACCTCAGGTGATCCGCCCACCTTGGCCTCCAAAGTGCTTGGATTACAGGCATGAGCCACTACGCCCAGCCAGAACCAATGTTGTTAGAGCTATTAAGGTGTTAAGAGCCCAGCACTTTGGGAGGCCGAGGCAGGAGGATCACGAGGTCAAGATATCGAGACCATCCTGGACAACATGGTGAAACCCCGTCTCTACTAAAAATACAAAAATTAGCTGGGCATGGTGGCGCTTGCCTGAAGTCCCAGCTACTCGGGAGGCTGAGGCAGGAGAATTGCTTGAACCCAGGAGACGAAGGTTGTGGTGAGCCAAGATTGTGCCATTGCACTCCAGCCTGGGTAACAAGAGCAAAACTCTGTCTCAAAAGAAAAAAAAAAAAAAGAGAGAACAGACTTTCTTGTACTTAACGGACTGCCCCTGCCCCTCTTCTCTGGCAAAACCTGTTGTGCAAATCAAGGGCCACTATCCCATTCAACAAAAGTGACTCCTAAAAATGCCTCAGGCAGGGGTCATCCAGGCTCTCATTGTCCCTTGGGAAGGAGGGTGGCAACTTCCTAGCCAGAAGCAGAAGACTAATATTATCGCCCAGGCCCGTGCAGGGCTTTGCGTGGCTTTGCACCCAACTAATACATGCAGTTGGGATTATTGCCAGCAGAGGATAGTTGGTTCACTTAATTGGACTTAAGGAATACCTCCTTAGCATTGGACTGGTCGTAGAGTTTCAAAAACTATTTGCATTTCAATGGGAGAAACCCAGAAGCAGGTATAACCACTCAATACACCTGGACCCAGCTTCCCAGGGGCTCAAAAACTCTCTCATCATCCTTGGGGAGGCATCAGCCCGTGACCACCCCCCAGAAGCTTCTTGCTTGCGTGCTGCCCCCGTATGCTGATAACCTTCTATTGGGACACCCCACGGCAGTCGGGTGCGCAAACGCCTTACTTCGGCACCTGGAGGACTGTGGGTATAAAGTATCTAAAAGAAAGTCCAGATTTGCCAAAAAGCAAATGCAATATCTGAGGCTCACCATCAGAAGGGGGAACGCAGCCTAGAAGCAGAGAGGAAGCAAGCCACTTGCAAAGTGACAGAACCTGATTCTAAAAGGCAGGTGAGAGAGCTCCTGGAAGCAGTGGGTTTCGTAAATTGGATTTCCAAACTTCGCAGTACTAGCCAAATCCCTCTATGATGTGACAAAGCGGGGAGACGAGGAGCCTTTTGAATGGGGATCCCAGCAGCGCCAGGCCTATCGGGAACTGAAAACAAAACTAATATCAGCTCCAGCTTTTGGGCTGCCTGATTTAACAAAGCCCTTCACATTATATGTGGCAGAAAGATAAAAAGTGGCAGTTGGGGTCCTAGTCCAAACAGTAGGACCTTGGCCCAGGCCTGTAACTTACCTCTCCAAGCAGCTGGATGGACTTTCCAAAGGATGGCCCCCATGCTTAAGGGCCCTGGCAGCAACTGCTCTGCTGGCACAAGAGGCTGATAAGCTAACTCTGGGGCAGAACTTAAATATCAAGGCACCTCACGCAGTAGTGACTCTAATGAATACTAGAGGGAACCACTGGTTATCAGATGTTAGGCTGACCAAATCCCCGGGCCTGCTATGTGAAAATCCCCGCATCACCATTGAAGTCTGCAACACCTTAAACCCTGCTACTTTGCTCCCAATGTCAGAGGCTCCCGTTGAACACAACTGTGTTGAAGTCCTGGACACAGTCTATTCCAGCAGGCCTGATCTTCGGGATCAGCCATGGACAGTGGTAGACTGGGAGTTGTATGTGGATGGGAACAGCTTTGTCAATCCACGAGGGGAAAGATGTGCAGGCTATGCTGTGGTAACTCTGGACACTGTAATCGAGGCCAAATCCCTGCCTCAGGGCACCTCGGCTCAGAAGGCGGAACTCATTGCTTTAACTCAAGCCCTAGAGCTGAGTAAAGATAAGGTTGTAAACTTTTACACCGACTCTGGATATGCCTTCCCGACTCTCCAAGTACATGGAGCACTGTACAAAGAGAGAGGCCTGTTAACTTCAGGGGGAAAAGAAATAAAGTAACAGCATGAAATTTTGTAGCTGCTGGAAGCAGTCTGGAAGCCCCGGAGGGTGGCGGTCATGCATTGCTGGGACATCAGTGGGCCCACACCTCCATGGCCCTGGGAAATTCCTGAGCTGATTCAGCAGCTCATAAGGCAGCATCTGCCCCCTACCGAATAGCAGTTACAGCCCCGCTGATTCCCCAGATCCCTGATCTAATACCTACTTACTCTAAGGAGGAAAGAGACTTTCTCCAGACAGAAGGGAGGGTAACTGATTAAAGAAGGATGGACCCAACTGCCAGATGGAAGAATAGCAGCACCACGGCTGCTGGGGGCAACAGTTGTACAAGCCGTACATGAGACCACTCATTTAGGTCAAGAGTCGCTTGAAAGATGCTGGGCCGGTACTTTTACATCTCACACTTAGCAGCCTTAACCAAAACTGTGGCACAGCGATGCATTACATGTCGGCAACACAATGCGAGGCAGGGTCCAACAAATGCCCCTGGAATTCAAGCTTATGGAGCAGCTCCATTTAAAGATCTCCAAGCTGACTTTATTGAAAGGTCCAAGTGTGGGGGACATAATAGTATTTGTTGGTCCTGGTGTGCACATACTCTGGGTGGGACTGAAAGAGCCCATGAAGTAACCTGTGTGCTGCTTCGAGATCTTATCCCTAGGTTTGGACTGCCACTGCGCATCGGATCAGACAATGGGCCAGCATTTGTGCCAGATTTAGTCCGGAAAACAGCAATGGCCTTAGGTATCACCTGGAAACTACACACTGCCTACCGACCTCAGATTTCCGGAAAAGAGGGAAAAATGAACCGGACCATCAAAAAAAGCTTAGGGAAAGTGTGTCAGGAAACAAGATTAGCGTGGGTGCAGGCACTTCCCTTGGGGTTATTCAAAATTAGATGCACCCCCTCTAGGAAGACAGGATATTCCCCTTATGAAATCTTATATCATAGGCCCCCTCCCATACTCCGGGCACTCCCGGGAACTCCTCGGGAGTGTGGGGAGATTGAGTTAGGATGCCAGTTATGAGCTCTAGGGAAAATAGCCCAGGATATTTCAATCTGGGTAAATGACAGATGTCCTGTAAGCTTATTCTCCCCAGTTCACCCTTTCTCATTAGGTAATCACGTGTGGATAAAGGAGGGGAGTACAGCCCCTCTAAAGCCACAATGGAAAGGACCTCAGACCTGATCCTGACCAACCCCATAGCCGTGAAGATAGAGGGAATCCCAGCCTGAATCCACCACAGCTGTGTAAAAACCAGCAACAGCTGAGACTTAGACCAAGGCAAGGACTGCAGAATCACATTAAAAAGGACAACAAGCCTTGCTCCAGCCACATCCCAGAAGCTGGCTGGTCCACGCACGGCCGACACATGAGGAAATTCATCAGGGGCCTTGTTCTTCTTAATATTTGGACTTGCATAGTCAGAACATTAACTAATTTTGAAGAATGCCCTCTGTATGTACACCAGGTAGGACGTGAAAGTTACTGACATTCTTTTGTCCTGCAGTTCTTATAAATGTGTGGGGACACAGAGGGGAGCCTGTTTATATAATGGTACTCAATATAATGTGTGTAATCTGTGAGATGGACAGGTAGCTGTGTCATAGGCATCATTAAGCCCTCTTTCTTCCTATTATCTGTTAAGACAGGTGAGCTGTTAGGGTATCCAGTCTACTCTGCTAGGGAGAAGAGGGACCTAAAAATAGGGGATTGGGCAGATGAGGAGTGGCCACCAGAGAGAATTATTGAGTATTATGGGCCGGCTACATGGGCCAAGGATGATGGCTCATGGGGATACCGGACCCCTATTTACATGGTCAACCAGATCTTCCGGTTGCAGGCTGTTTTGGAAATACTCACTAATGAAATGGGCAAAGCTCTGTCCCTCTTGGCCTGACAAGAAACTCAAATGAGAAACGCGATTTATCAGAACCGACTGGCCCTAGATTATTTGCTAGCAGCCGAAGGAGGAGTCTGGAAAATTCAATCTGGCCACTCCTATTTGCATATAGGTGACCAGGGGCAAGCAGTGGAGGATATTGTGCAAGACATGACCAAACTGGCACACATGCCTGTACAGGTGTGGCACGGATTTAACCCTGAGTCCTTATTTGGAGGTTGGTTCTCATCCTTGGGAGGATTCAAAACCCTCATCTTAAGTGTTATAATAATAATAGGTGTTTGTTTGTTGCTCCCTTGTCTACTCCCCCTGTTCCTTCAGATGATTAGGGGATTCATCACTACTGTAGTTAGCCAAAAAATGACATCACAAGTATATTATATGAAACATTACCAGCCGGCTTCTTCAGAAAATCTGGAAAGTGAGAATGAAAGTGAGACCTCTCACTAATATTATAAAGTGATGAGAGTCTCAAAGTGGGAGGAGGTGAAGGGGGAGACCAGGCATCTCAGATCAACTTCCCCTTTTCATTCCTAAGACTGTAAACTGAGACCCTTTTCATATGTAATTCCTGAGATTGTAAACTGAGACCCTTTTCATATGTAATTCCTAAGGCTGTAAACTGAAACCCTTTTCATAATTTCTGAGACTCTAAACCGAGACCCTTTTCATATGTTAAGCTATAAACCTAAGATTCTTCCAGGTGTAACATCTGAAGTATAAGCCTGTATAAAGATGGAACATTCCTTTGTTAGGGGAGCTTGGCTGTTACGCAACTATGCCACCTGGCTCCCAGCCGAATAAACCTTCCTTCCTCCTGTATTCAGTGTCCAAGAGATCTGTTTCCCTCGGCTGCTCCTGCTACACTATCCAGCAGGGGCAGCAAAACCTAGGAATAAAAAGGAAGCAGGTTATCTGTAACCTGCCAGTGAAGAATTGGAGGCAGATGCGAGAATTCTTGGCAGCAGTGGGATTCTGCAAGCTGTGGATTCCTAACTTTGCAGCTCTGGCTTAATCCCTGTATGAAGCCACAGTAGGGGGAAATGGAGAGCTGTCTGAGTGGCGCTTGGAGCAGCAGGGGGCCTTCTCACAGTTAAAAAAAAAAAAACAACAAACAACTGATGTCTGCCTCGGCTCTGGGACTGCTGGACTTGACAAAACCTTTATGCTGTATGTGTCTGAGAGAGAAAAAATGGCAGTAGGGGTCCTGACCCAGACTGTGGGCTCATGGCCTTGACCTGTGGCATACTTGTCCAAGCAACTGGATGGAGTTTCCAAGGGATGGCCCCTGTGTCTACAAGCCTTAGCAGCCACTGCCCTACTGGCACAAGAGGCTAACAAGCTAACTTTGGGACAGAATTTAAAAATAAAAGCCCCAAAAGGTGACAGTCATGCACTGCTGAGGACATCAATGAACCTCCACCACAGTAGCCCAGGGAAATGCCCATGCAGATGCAGAGGCCCAGAGGGCAGCATCTATCCCATATCAGGCATCAGTTGTGGTCCCCCTACTGCCCCAGGTCCCAAAGTTGGTGCCAGTTTATTCAGAGAAGGCAAGAAAATTCCTTCAAACTGAAGATGGAAAGGAAATAAAGGGAGAATGGATACATCTGCCAGATGGACGAGTAGCAGTGCCACAAGTACTAGGACATGCAGTGGTCTTGGCTGTCTATGAAACCTCCCACCTTGGGCAAGAAGCCCTTAAAAAATTGTTAGGCCAGTATTTTTACATCTCTCATTTATCTGCACTAGCAAAAACAGTGACATAACAGTATGTAACGGGCAGACAGCACAATGACAGACAAGAACCTACAATTCCACCAGGAATCCAGGCTTATGGAAGTGCTCCTTTTAAAGACTTGCAAGTGGACTTCATTGGAATGCCTAAGTGCGAGGTAACCGATATCTGCTGGTTCAGGTATGTACTTACTCCTGGTGGGTAGAAGCCAACCCAACATGGACTGAGAAGACCTGTGAAGTGACTCGTGCTCTTTTCTTTTTCTTTTTTTTTTTTTTTTTAACAAAAAGATGGGGTTTCTCCATGATGGCCAGGCTGGTCTTGAACACCTGACCTCAGGTGATCCACCCATCTTGGCTTCCCAAAGTGCTAGGATTACAGGCATGAGCCACCGTACCTGGCCGACTCGTGCTCTTTTAAGAGACATCATCCCTAGATTTGGACTGCCTTTGCGAGTAGGCTCAGGCAATGGGCCTGCATTTGTAGCGGACCTGGTACAAAGTACAGTGAAAATGCTAGGAATAAACTGGAAACTACATGCCGCCTACCAGCCTCAGAGTTCAGGCAAAGTGGAACAAATGAACTGAACTATTAAAAATAGCTTAGGGAAATTGTGCCAGAAGACAGGGTTAAAGTGGGTGCAGGTCCTTCCTATGGTTTTGTTTCAAATTAAATGTATACCTTCTAAAAAATCTGGATATTTCCCATATGAAATCCTGAATGATAGGCCTCCCCTCATTCTCTGGGGACTTCCAGGAACTCCCTGGGAATTAGGGGAAACTAAATTACTAAATTATGTCAGCAGTTACAGGCTTTAGAAAAGGTGGCAAAAAAAAAAAAGTTGTCTAAATGAGTCAATAAAAAATTCCCTGTCAGCTTCTTCTCCCCAGTTCACCCTTTCTCACCAGGTGACCGAGTTTGGATGAGGACTGGAACACAGCTCCCCTACAACTGAGGTGGAAAGGACCCCAAAATGTCATTCTAACAACTCCAGCTGTCATGAAGGTCAAGGGAGTTCCTGTGTGGATCCATCACAGCCATGTGAAACCTGCAGTATCAGACACTTGGGAAGCAAAGCCAAATCTCCATAACCCATGCAAGATCACCTTAGAAAAAACAGACAACAAGCCCTGCTCTAGTCACACCCTGGAAGCTGACTGACCTACACAAGGCTGAAGCATGAGGACTGCCCCCATGGGACAGGTGCTCCTTCTCTTTGGACTATGGACTTGTATTTTTGCTGCCCCAGTAAATGTAAACTTCCCATCTGAGGATTGTTCCCAGTGCATACATAAGGTTGCTAAGGTAAGACAAAAGGTTACCACAGACCTCTTGTTTTACAGTTATTATGAATGCACTGGAACCCTCAAAGGAACTTGTTTATATAATGCTATCCAGTACCAGGCGTGCAGCCCAGGGAACAACCAACCTGATGTATGTTATAACCCATTTGAACCTGCCATGTCTACCATATTCAAAATAAGGCTGAGAACTGGTCGCTTCTTAGGGGATACAAGTATTTACAAAAGCTAAGGACAAAGGAATACCTAAGTAGGTCACCATAAAATTTGATGCTTGTGCAGCTGTCAATAGTAACAAGCAAGGGCTAGGGTGTGTCTCTCTTGGTTGAAAAAGAAGCTATACGGCAGAGCATAAATACATCTATCTGTCTTCTCTGGGAAACAGTCAAAGACATAGAAGAAAAAAAATACATCTGTCATGACTGATGGCCATGCAGTGGTCATGTTGTAACTACTGGTCATGTGTCATCTGGGCCACCTGAAAAAATAATAAAAATAACCCAGTCCATCTCCAAAAGGGGAGGAGTAGACCCCCCTGCACCTCTGGCTATTGTAATCCATTAGAATTAACAATCACCAATCCTCTGAATCCTCGTTGGAGGAAAGGGAAATATGTAATAATGGAAATTAATGAAAAAGGACTGGACCCCATGGTTAACAGTCTAAGTCAGGGAAATATCCAGAAATAATCACCCCACCCGATGTTTCAAACTTTTAATGATATATTGAATGAACCAGTTCCAGAACTTCCCCAGAAAGAAAGAAATTTGTTCTTTCAGTTAGCTGAGAATGTGGCCAAGACTTTAAAAGTGCATTCTTCTTATGTGTGCGTGTGTGTGAAGGAACTACTATGGGGAACCAGTGGCCATGGGAAGCATGCGAGCTTGTGCCTGCTGACCCTGTCCCTAATGTGACCTATGTGCAAAAGGGCCTGAGTAACCACTTCTAGATCTTAAAAACCTCCATCATTGGACAATATTGTCTGGCCAGAATAGGAAGGGGTGTGATGGACCCAGTGGGAAAGCGGACTGTTTGGGACAGAAGCTATATAATGAAACCAGGAAAACAATCACTTGGTGGATTTTAGATAGGACCAAGACCAACCCTTTCCAAAAGTTTCCCACCTTACGGGTGGCCTGGACCCACCTGGAACTCTACCGGGACTGGGTAGCGCTCCTGGCTTGTACTGGATATGTGGGCACAGGGCCTACACCAAACTGCCAGACCAGTGGATGGGCAGTTGTATCCTTGGCACCATCAAGCCCTCTTTCTTTCTATTACCCATAAGAGCTGGGGACTTGTTAGGTTTTCCTGTCTACTCTTCATGAGACAAGTGAAGAGTAGTTACAGGGGACTGGAAAGATGATAAATGGCCCCTGAGAAAGTAATACAATACTATGGGCAGAGGATGGCTCATGGGGCTATTGTACTCCGATCTACATGCTTAATCGAATCATTCGATTGCAAGCTGTCCTAGAAATCCTGACCAACAAAATTGGCCAGGCTCTAACTGCCCTGGCATAGCAGGAGACCAAGATGAGAAATGTCATCTACCAGATCAGACAGGCTTTAGATTACCTACTGGCAGCTGAAGGAGGGGTATGTGGAAAATTCAATTTAACCAACTGTTGCCTGCAAATAGATGACCAGGATCAGGTGGTTGAAACTATTGTAAGGGGCATGACAAAACTGGCACATGTACCTGTACAGGTCTGGCATGGGTTTGGCCCTGGATCAATGTTTGGGAATTGGTTTCCTGCTATAGGAGGACTCACGACCGTCATCGTAAATGTGTTACTGATGATAGGAGCATGCATATTGCTCCCCTGCTTAATGCCCTTGCTCCTTCAGGTAATAAAAGGATTTATTACTGCTGCGGTTCAAGAAAAAAATGTCAGCGCAGGCCTATTACATCGACTGTTTATGTTATTAGTAATGCTTCTGGTCAATAGTAGGCTACTAGTAATTTAGTTTTTAGAGAGTCAAAAGTTACACATGGGGGGTTGATGTTCCTATCCCACACCTTGTTCAAGGTGCATTTCTGTTGTTTAACACGCATTTTGTGGGACTTTGTTATACCAGTCCTAGCAAATTAAGACACCTGAGCTACCTAGAATTTTACTATATAACTCTTTTTTTTTTTTGAGATGGAGTCTTGCTCTGTCACCCAGGCTGGAGTGCAGTGGTGCCATCTTGGCTCACTGCAACCTCCACCTCCTGGGTTCAAGCAATTCTCCTGCCTCAGCCTCCTGAGTAGCTGGGGTTATAGGCCCCTGCCACCACACCCAGCTAATTCTTGTATTTTTAGTAGAGACCAGGTTTCACTATGTTGGTCAGGCTGGTCTTGAACTCCTGACCTCAAGTAATCCACCCACATCGACCTCCCAAAGTGCTGGGATTACAGCCATGAGCCACTGTGCCCGGCCCTGTATAACTCTTTGTGCAAGTTTTCCCCCTAAAAGATCTCTGCCATCTCAGCCATGGAACACACACTGTGAGGACATGAAGGCTTAAGGGCAGGGCAGGCTACATAATTTGTGGGACCCAGTACAAAATGAATATGGAGAACAAACTAGAAAAAAGTGTAATACAAGCTACTAAAAAAGATTTTTCCTATGAAAACAGTTTGATACTTATAAAATGTAATAAGGGGAAATAGTGATAATACATGAGTAACAACATGGGCATATCAATTGGTTGATGCTATTTTTGGTGTTATAATTTTACCTAATATAATAAATAGCAACACTTTGTTTGTGAGATGGGGTTTCACCATGTTGGCCAGGCTGGTCTGGAACTCCTAACCTCAGGTTATCCTCCTGTATTCTCAGCCTCCCAAAGTGCTGGGATTACAAGTGTGAGCCTCTACGCCCAGCTGTGATGTCTTGATAGGATTTTTCTGGCTATTCTAGCTACTTCCAATTCACTTCAGCCAATTTAGTAGAGTTTTTGTCACTTGTGACTTCAGAGTCCTGGTTAATATCTTGTTGCCTTCAGGACATGCAGGATGGAAGAAGGCAGTAGGGATCCAAGGGAAGTGAGTAGAAAATCACTTCGGGGCCACTAGGATGGCCCCCATCACTGTCCACACACAGAGGCCCTTCCTCTCCCCTCAGTCGAGCAGGCCCCACCTCTCTTCCGGTTGTGACTTCACAGACCACTGGGTTCCATGGTACCCTGGAGTCCTGAGGCTGCTGAGTCTGAAGAATCTTCAGAAAACTGGCTTTTGCTTGCTGGTTCATGAACTAAGGCAAATATGAGCAGAGCCGTGGCCCTCTTCTTTGCCCTCTGCTTGATCCAAGGTATATAGCTGTGGCAGCTGGAAAGAAACATAGGCCTCACTTTGAGCCTAAGTGGGGCAGAGGAGGGTGTTCCCTCCCACATTGTGGGGAGCATAGACAGTCTACCTACCCTACCTTCTTTACCTCCCCAAATCTACCATTCAGGGTTTACTACTTGGGAGAAGGGAGTAACTTAAAATGTTTTCCTAACTTTGAAGCTTTCTCAGAATTCAGAGCTGCATAGGAGGGTGGCATACATGCATATTTTAACTTTTTATTGTAAGAATTTCCAAACATATGCAAAAGTAGAAAGATTAGTATAAAGAACACCATGTGCTAATTAACCATCCTGATTTTATCTATACACACTCACTATTTAAAAAATAATAGCATTGGCCAGGTGCAGTGGTTCATGCCTGTAATTCCACCACTTTGGGAGCCTGAGGCAGGCGAGTCACAAGGTCAGGAGTTTGAGACCAGCCTGGTCAACATGGTGTAACCTCATCTCTACTAAAAATACAAAAAAAAAAAAAAAAATTTGGGTGTAGTGTCAGACATCTGTAATCCCAGCTACTTGGGAGGCTGAGGTAGGAGAATCGCTTGAACCTGGAAGGCAGAGGTTGCGGTGGGCCGAGATCTCACCACTGCACTCCAGCCCAGGCAATCGTGTGAGACTGTGTCTCAAAACAAAACAAAGGGCACAGTGGCCAGGTACAGTGACTCATCCTGTAATGCCAGCACTTTAGGAGGCCAAGGTAGGAGGATCCCTTGAACCCAGGAGTTTGCGACAAGCCTAGGCAACGTAATGAGACCCTGTCTATAAAAAAAAATGAAAAGATTAGCCAGGCATGGTGGTGCCTGCTTGTGGTCCCAGCTACTATGGAGGCTGAGGTTGAGCCCAAAAAGTCGAGGCTGCAGTAAGCCATGATCACACCACTGCAGTCTGGCCTGGGCAACAGAGTGGGACCCTCAATCAAAAAAAAATAGCAACAACTTTATAGAGATATAATATATCATAAAATTCACTCTTTGTTTTATTTTTCTATTTATTGTTATTTTTGAGACAGGGCCTCCCTCTGTCACCTGGGGCTGGAGTGAGTGGCACAATCACAGCTAATTGCAACCTCAGCCTCCCAGGCCCAAGGATCCTCCCTCCAGCCTGCCAAGGAGTTGGGACCACAGGTGTGTACCACCATGCCCAGCTAATTTTTTAAGTTTTTGTAGAAATAGGGGTCTCACTCTGTTGCCCAGGCTGGTCTCGAACTCCTGGGCTCAAGTGATCCTCCTACCTTGGACTTCCAAAGTGCTGGGATCACAGGTATGAACCACCATGGCTGGCCAAATTTACCCTTTAAAATGTATATAATTCAGTGGTTTTTAATATACTCACAGAGTTGTGAAGCGCAACTAATTTTATTTAATTTTTTGAGATGGAGTGTCACTTTCTCACCCAGGCTGGAGTGCAATGGCGCTATCTCGGCTCACTGCAACTGCTGTCTCCCAGGTTCAAGTGATTCTCCTGCCTTAGCCTCCCAAGTAGCTGGGAGTACATGCACATGCCACTATGCCTGGCTAATTTTTTTGTATTTTAAGTAGACAGGGTTTCACCATGTTGCCCAGGCTGGTCATGAACTCCTGACCTCAGTGGATCCTCCTGTCTCAGCTTCCCGAGTAGCTGGGACCATAGGTGCACACCACGACACCCAGATAATTACTTTTTATTTTTTGTAGCATTGGGAGGTCCCTATGTCCCCCAGGCTGGTTTTGAACTCCTGACCTCAAGTGATCTGCCCACCTCGGCTTCCCAGAGCGCTGGGATTACAGATGTGAGCCACCACATCCAGCCCGAATTTTCCTCAAGTTCAAAAATTCCTGACGAAGGTTTAGCTAAAATATTTGGTGAGTCACCCCCTTCCCTGTGGAACCTCGGGTTGGATTTGAAGAGTTGTGTGCATGGCCCTCATTGTCTCCCAGGTAACCTGTTCTTGCTGCTGTGAAGGGAAGGCAGGTACTTTTCCTTGAGGCTAGAATCTGTTTGCCTAAGTGTCGAAGTCTCAAGAAATTAAGCAAAACGTAGATGATACACACCTGGAAAAGACCCTACTGAGCATGAGTGGAGCAGTGGGAGCCGTGTGGGAGCTCATTGAGACTGCAGCGTCAGATGCCACCTTGCACCAGCGGCAGCACACCTGCCTTGCCAGTTTCTGCTCTGAGGCCCTGGTTGTCAGTCCTAACTGAGCATGAGAACCCCTAGGGCAATCCTCTCTTTAATAATTGAGACATTCCACACACACCCCGAATCAGATTTTGGGGTGTGGGGATAGACCTTCGAATTTGTAGTTTTCTATCCCTCCAGGGGACACCAGGCTGCAACTCACTGGTCCCTACTCTAAACCTTCCGTTGAACATGTGAGAAAAACTAAGGCCCAGGGAAGCCCTCTAGCAGAGAGCTGAGACGAAGAAAAGGGTTCTGAACCACAGCCGTCTGCTGAAGGAAGCTGTCCAGATGCCAGTGCAGTCTCTCCTACGGGTGCCTGGGCCTTGCGTCAGGAGGGGAGGTCGAGGGTCGCCTTAGGTGTGGGAAGGAGCTCCAGGGAGAGTGGTGCTGATGCTTCCCCTTGGGTTAGGAGGCATTTGGATCACACAGCGATGCCTGCACATTCCCGGTTGCAAGAGAGTAGATCTCTGGACACCCGATAGGCCTCCGTTCTGGCAGCTGTCCATGGCCAGGAGCGCTGGGCTTGCTCCTCCCCATGGGAACCATCACACAGGCCTCAGGCAGTCTGCATAGATGACAGCCTGGCAGGTGACCAGGCTGGGATGAGTGAGCAGATGTGGGTAGCACTTGCGGTCCCCCTAGCTGTGCCTTCAGCACCTGCTGCCTAGGAGGCAGAAGCCTTGTTCTCCACCTTGCAGGTGACCCCAGTGTCTCTGAATCTAGCCGCGTATGTGTAGGAGTCAGGTGATTGCATCTGAGGATGGGAGTCGGGTTGGGGGTTTGGGAAACATCCATGATCCTTCAAGGGCCCATTGACCTGCCCAGTACATGCCAGGTGGGCCTTGGCATTGGAGGCCACAGCTCAACTCTGCGGTTCCTGCTGGGCAACATTTCCAGGGACTCATAGATCAGCAAGGTCATCAAGGAGGGGTGGTGAGAGCAGCTCCTCATTGTCCTGGTGACCCTGATGTTTAATTTTCTGATGTCTCTGTGGTGAGCTCCTGTTGCGTCAAGTGAATAGAGACCACCGAGAACCAACCGCCCTGGAAATGCACTCAGAATAGATACAGGACGAGTGGGGTTTGTGAGGACTGTTTTCTGTGGCTTAGCAAGGAAAGCCTGGAGAGGAAGGTAAAACTGCTGCTTCCCAGGGAAGCCAGAGGCCTGAGAACTTAAAAGGGAAGGAGAACGTAATATATTTTAAAAATGTAACCCTGAGGAATTGGCAACAGTTTTATAAACAAAGAGCTTTCTGAGCTTATTCCATCTCCCTGGAAATGTTGCCCAGCAGCTTTCTGTTCTGCTTTGTTTCTGCCCCCATAGCTCCCACCCCTGTTTTTGTGGGTGCAATTTCATGCAGAACATTTGTACACAAGCTTCAAATCCTCTGAGGACAGCTTTCCCCTTTAGGTCTGTCAGGTCCCAGGCAGTCCCAATGCTACCGAAGTGTTGGTGTCAGGCTCCTTGCTCCACATCCTTCTTCAACAGCACGAGGGGTGGGGTGGAGTGTGTGAGTTGTGCGTGATCTTGGTGCGGGCTGTGGCTGGCCTGCAGCACCCCTTCAATGACTGCTTCAAGGGCTTTTCATGATGCTTGTAGCTCATGAGTTAGTGTTTCCTAGAGGCTGTTTCCAGGTGTCTTGCATGTCACACACTGTCCCACTGGGGCTGGAGGGAGATCAGGAGGACCAGATTGTTGGTGGAGGGAGTTGACAGACACATTGAATGTTGGTGAACAGGAGTGACCTTGGGTCTCAGTAAATACTGTAGTCAACTGAATCCAGAGCCCAGCCTCACCAGCAGGGCCCACTTCTTCCTCCGGAAGTCTGCTCAGCTGTGTGTTTGTGTTCTGGCTGCCGCAGGCCAAGCTGGTTTTCTTCCCCTCCTGTCTTCCCTGGCCCTTGCTTTGTAGCTGTGTGGCTGTGTCATGTCTGGCTCTCCTTTCCCACTATCTACATGGCTCAAGGAGGCGCACCACACAGCAGGTCGCCTTCCTCTCTGAACCCCCAGCATCTTGTACTGTTTCTCTGCAGAGATAAGGCTGGGTGAAGGCTTGTGCGAATGATGTGCAGTCTTCTACTCTAGGCCAGTCTCCACTGTAGAAGAGGATTATGATCTTTAGGAGCATGAGCTTGATTCCTCCGTACAATAATGGGTCACACAACTGAGTGGCCAAGATCATCCCGGTGAGGGGAGTCCGTGTGTTACCATAATTGCTGTACCAGTTAAGAATGTACCTGGCAGGTGGGGGGCTGGGGAGGGCTAGCTTTAGAAGAAATACCTAATGTAGATGATGGGTTAATGGGTGCAGCAAACCACCATGGCATGTGTATACCTATGTAACAAACATGCATGTTCTGCACATGTATCCCAAAACTTAAAGTATAATTTAAAAAAAAAAAAATAATGTACCACCTGGCTGTAATTTCCTAAAAACCTGACTTACAGTAGCTTAAACAAAGAGTGGTTAATTTTCTTTCTGGCACAGCAATCTGGGGGAGGCCACTGTGGCTGTGGTGCAGGAGGTCAGGAAAGGCTGCTTCTCTGAGGTCATCGGGGACCTCCCCAGTGCTTGTGTGGCAGAATGACAACAGGAAGAAGGAGAATTAGGACACTGAGTATCATGAGATTTGGGGTCATATATCTTTAGTGGGCAGTGTTTGCTGCCCCAGATGTCTCATGCAATGAAAATGTTCTAGAAATGATTTAGGTAGCTGGAGTTTCCTTCCCTAAGACAAGGCATTTACAGCATAAGGTCCAATATCTATTGAGTTTGTGTTATGCATTCATTGTATTCATAGTCTGCTTTAGGTACTTAGCAAAATATTGCTGGTATTAACATGCCTTTGTTTGCTTCACTGGAGATGAAATTCTGCTGCAAGTGTTTTCTCAGGTTCCATATGACCCATCATTTGATGAAACAAGAACAGCAGTCAGATCCATTACAAAGAGGGAAACACAAAAAAGCAAGTATATGTTGTTAACATGATATGTGTTGTACATACCTCTACAGACCTCTGTATTGTCTCAAATGTGTGATGCTAGCGTTTTAGCATTCCTTAAATTAACTACTGGGGGGCAAAGTCAAACTGAGATGTGAAGAACGCTCTGAAATTCTCTCTACAATCTTCCACCCAATATGGGAGTCTATAGGCTACAGTGCGAATGTCCCTGTATTTTGGGGTGATCCCTGATGTGCAGTGTAAGGCAGGTTCTGCCACTCTGGAGGCTATTCAGAGAACAGAAACCTGTTTTGCAAGTGAGGTTCACTGTTCCTTGTAACAAAAGCTATGAGAAGTATAATCACTTTCTATTTGCCCACTCTTTATAGATCACTGCCCATGAGTGCCGCAGTCATTGGCTTGGGAGAGCAAAGTCTTCCTACATCCCTCCCTGTCACCCCCACCATCACTCCACCCCAGCCTCTGTAAAATATTTGCCCAAAGAAGCAGAGGTGATTTCTCCTCCAGCACGGATGCTCCAATGCTAAGGCTGAGAGAAAGCAGCTGGCCACATATGCAAAAATAATGCACATTAACCCTAAATCACACAAAGAACAGAGAAACCCTGTAAGGTGGATATCATATGCATTAGGGAGAAAAGTAAGAATGAGTAATTAGTTATCAGAATAAGCCAGCTATGTGTGCCATGAATTATAAGACTCTCAGTAAAGCAATTTAGTAATCACTCTGCCAATGCATTCCATAAGCCACTGGATTGAGAAAAGACATGAATATTTCACTGCATAATCTCATTAGCTTGCCCTGCACCATGTTTTACGACGCTCCCCTGGCTGATACATTATGAGGAACACGTTTTTAGCGAAGTGCTTGCATGATTAAGTGTATCTAGTCTTAATGATTCATCAGTGCCTCCTTAACAGAGAACTGTGCATTTGTCTTTTATTGGATCAAAGTGGTTGTACTTGAAATCGTTTGGCATATACCACGTGGGCCTTTCTACCACTTTTCCTGTAGAGTTAAACCTGCCATGTGCACAGATCACTCAATGGCTATGCATAATGTCTGTCAAGAGACCATGTGAAAATGAACTTAGCTCCTGGTGTTGTGTTGGAACTTCAGATGCTCGCGGACACTTCATGAATGCTCTGTGACACTCAGAATAGGGGGGTTCAGGCCAAGTGCATGATGCTCTCCACAAAATGCTGTGCAGAAGAGTATCAGTTTAAAAAGAATATCTGAAGATCCAATGAAAGACTTAATCACAGCTGTGGTTGATTTTCCCATAGGCTATTCCCAACAAAAGAGCTTGAAAGATGCTACATTTGCGTCAGGTTCAAATGAGCGAGAGGAACATTTGGCTAAAATATTTGGTAAGTAACCTCCTGCTATGAGACCTTTAGCCTGTGTTTGAAGAGTTGCATGCTTGTCCCTGGTTGTCTCTCAGGTAACCTGTTCCTGCTGCTTTGAGGGGAAAGCAAGTGCTTTGCCTTGAGGCTAGAATCTGTTTCTCCACGTGTCAAAACCCTAATAAATTAAGCCAAATGTAGAAGATAAACACCTGGAAAGGATCCTGCTCCTCAAAGAGTGACCCATGGAGCAGGAGCAGGGCTATCATCTGATAACATGAGAATCCCCTGGAGAGACTTAAAAAGAGACACACCTTGGCCAGATGTGGTTCCTCATACCTATGATGGCAGTGCTTTGGGAGGACCAGGCAGGAGGATTGCTCAGGGACAGAAGTTCGGGAGCAGCCTAGGCAACATAGCAAAACTCCCTCTCTCTAAAAAATAAAAACCAAAAACACTCACCCCCCCGCCCCCTGCAAAACATGACAAATTAGCCAAGTGTGGTGGCATATGCTGTGGTCAATCTTTTGAGCCCAGGAGTTTGAGGCTCCTGTGAGCTATGATTGTGCCACTGTACTCCAGCCTGGGCAACAGAGCTACACTGTCTATTAAAAGAGAGAGAGTGAGAGAGAGAGACATCTTGTTTCACTTTTAGTGGTCAGATCTTGTGAGGTAGGGAGTCAGTTTGCATCACTGGCCAACATGGTGAAACCCCGTCTCTACTAAAAATACAAAAATTAGCTGGATGTGGTGGCGTGCGCCTGTAGTCCCAGCTACCCAGGAGGCTGAGGCAGGAGAATCGCTTGAACCTATTCATGGCGGAGGACATTGCATTGGGTCAAGATTGTGCCCCTGCATTCCAGCCTGGGCAACAGAATGAGATTCCATCTCAAAAAAAGAAAAAAAAAGTTCAGAAATAAATGCATTTGTCTACGGTCAATTGATTTACAACAAGGGTGGCCAAGCCAACAGTGGGGTAATAACAGTCTCTTCAACCAATGGTCCTGGGAAAACTGGAAGGCCACAGGCAAAAGAACGAAGCTGGGGAGAAAAAAAAAAGAATGAAGCTGGATCATTAACTTATACCATACACAAAAATTAAAACTCAAAGTGAGCCAAAGATCTAAATTCATGAGCTAAAACTATTAGTCTCTTAGAAGTAAACATAGGTGAAAATCTTCATGACCTTGAATTAGGCATGTGGTATCTTAAGTTTGACACCAAAAGCAG